GGGGGGGGGGCGGGGGGCAGCGGAATCAGAGCTCGGCCCGAAGTGACCATCGCGCGAGGCAGTCAAAGGTCCATACAGTATATGCGGCGGGTATACTATACCGCGAACACCCAGCGAAGCATCGTTCTTGATGTCCCAATGTTAATTATTGCTGAATTTAAGAATATATGAGAAAATTTTGATTGTAACAAGCACAATTTCTTTAAAACAAGCACATTGAGATATCAAGAACATGCTTCCCGGCGACAGTGGCACTGGGCAACATGGTGCTGCTGGGGGTGATGGTGGTGGTGATGATGGTGGTGATGGTATAGGTGAGCCGGCGGCAGTCGCCCTTGGTCCCCGATGCAGCAGAGCCGTCATGAAAAATTCAGGGCGTGTGTGATCCGAAGGGAGCTCAAGGGACGGGCCGAGTCAGTCGCCGGCAGACAGGCAGGCAGGACGGGCAGGCAAGAGCGCAGGGCCGGGTTCAACGACACCCCTTGACATCAAGGCCCGATTTGGAAGTGCGATGCAATCGCCAGCCTGCCCCGCCCGGCCCCGCCCCGCCCTGCCCCGCCGTGCCCGTCCCTTCCGATCAGGCGAGCGCGGCCTGGCCGTAGTTTTATAAATAGAGAGATGGCCTCAAAGAAGCGATGACATGTGCACCGACACGTCATGAATCTAACGCCCCGCGGGGCAACCGTCATATAGGCAAGAACAAAAGACTAATAATGCCACCCTGAAAAATCGTTTCTTGTTTCAAGTAAATTTTTCCTTTTTTCAAGTGCACGCTGACACAAGATCAAATTTACTCTTGAAACAAGCTCATATTTTCTTTCGAATAAGAGAAAAATCTTCTTCCAAGGACAATATTGCCCTGTTTCAATGGTAAATTTAATCTTGTGTCAGCAGCTTGCACTTGACTCAAGAAACTATTTTTCTGGGTGTGGGATATCGTACCTGACTGACGAAACCTTGAAAGTTTAGGACCGCGGTAATAGGGCAACTCCAGGATAGCGCGCGGTGGTCAGGCGGGAAAAGGTCAAGATGCCGTCAGGGAGTAACGTCGGTGGGGGACACATCGTCGGGATGTACAACGCCAGGATGGGGTGCCGTCGGTGCCGTCGTCGCGAGCAGCGCCGCGGGATAACGCCGGCCGGCTCACGTGCAGTCACGCCGGGCGTGCAATCGTGCGCCCGCTGTTGACGCAAGAGGGGCGCAGCGCCAGCTAACCTAACGCCAGCGCAGCGCCGCGCCGCCGTCCTGCATATGACCCGAGAACGTGCCCGCCACATCTTTCGCAAATCGACATGCATGTGTTAATCAAAAGGGATATCGAAATCGACGCCGCCGCCCCCTATATACCCTGAGAGAAATAAGAAACCCCCCCCCCCCTGGAACAAAAAGACGATTTGTTTGGTGCGCTGTAACAGCTTTGCTCCTAGCACGAAATGATAAGTTTTAGAGGTGATCGCCGTTACAATACAAATGGTGAGGCGCGTGGTGAGGCTACAAAGACGACAAAATGTCAATGAATAGATGAGAAATATTACGTATTCCTTCGATTCATCATCCGAAAGGACGTTCGGTTTGTGCCCGGCCCGGCCAGGCCCGATTTGGAGCAAAAATGCTCAATACTAGTAGTACTGTAGCCTGCATGAATGGGTGCAGACTATCCTTTCCATCATCACGGCGCCGAATGGCCCCGTGCGAACAGGCAACCCGGCCGCACGTCCTGCAAATGGGCAAGTATACGTCTTTGCTCCAACGGGGCAAACCGCCCACCCTGTATATACTGTGTGCAGGAGCGACGAATCTTCGAGACGAGGACCCGGGCCAGGACCACGCCAGGACTCCGTCGACACCGCGGCTGGAGGCGTGTGGGGAGGGGGGAAGGGAGAAGGTCCTTACGCCAATCGGCGTCGCTTACGGCAGCGCGCGCCGCCGCCAAAAGTCGTATTACCTGTTGCCGGACTAGAGCTGTCCTGGGGACGGCGTCGTCGTCGTCGTCGGAGTCGCTCCTCGCCGTCCATTTGCAATCCCGCCCGGCAGGTTGCTGAGGTTGCTCTGCGCCCCCTTCCCCCTCGGCGGGCCGCAGCGCCACTCGGCAAACATGCAGCGGCAGCGGCGGCGACTGGCTGGAAAAAAACATGTCGTTAATTGCCCCCGCCGCGCCGAGATCGATCTATCGATCCGCAGCAATCGAGAGATGATATTGTTGGGCGTGGTTGCGCGCACAAGCAACACGCGCGGGACATGTTCAATTGAAAGCCGCGATTTTTAACACGGACCTGCTGCTGTACCACCTTTCCCCCTCCCCTGCCTTCCCTTCCTCTTAGCCTGCCCCCCTCTCCCCTTCACTGGCCTTCCCTTCCCCTTAGCCTGCCCCCTCTCCCCCACCTAAGCCAGCTCATCACCACCATCACCACCACCACCATGTCGACGACCACCTCCCATCTCCCGCATGGTGAAAAATTTCATCGCCACCGGAGGGCGAAGCTCGTTAATCGCCTGTGATGATAAAACTTGAAATGGCAGTAAATAAATCGAAAGTTCTTCTTCAGCCCTACGCCCAAACCCCAGCGAGCTGCTGCCGCGCGTCTTCGTTTTGTATTACACGCCGATTTGCCCCCTTGCTGGCTGAGAGGGTCTGTCTCTCTCCAACACTCGATCCATCCTCTTCGACCACGCAACATAATCACCATCTTAATGCTGTTATTTCCTGTTTATGTTCTGTCTCTTTCGTGTACGCATTCACTCTTCTCTCTGTCTCTTTCTGCCCCTCCTTCTCCCCCCCCCATTCCCCATGTATCCCCTTCCCTTCCCGCTGCTCGAGTCCACCATCCAATTGACTTCCCCTCCCTCCTTCTCCTTCCCTCGCCTTCTCCTCCTTCACTTATAATAGAATGACGTCACGACAGAAAGGGCGAATACAGTACACGAAAACTGGGCGGGCAAAGTAAAAGGTATTTGCGGTAGGGTCTCCCACAAGGGCAAAAAGCGTGTCCTGGATGAGCAGCAGGAAGAACATGCTGAGTGGGAGATTATTTACAAACGACAGCAGTAAGCCAAGCGACATACGTATTATCTTCACATTCAGCAACGCCAGAGAAGATAGTAGGGGACGGCTGAGCAGTCACGTGACGCCATAGTGGAGGCTGGATAAGTCGCTCCATCCAGGATGTGCTCGGCACGAGACTGTAAGCGCCATTCATTGTACGAAGAAGTACCAGGGGAGGGGAGGGGAACAAGTTGGCCTCCAAAAACGAGTCGAGAGATTCTCGATTTGCCCGCGGAGAGAGGTAGGAAGAGGGAAGAGAGGGGGGGGGGAGCGGCTCTCGTCAGTCCGTCTAACGTCGCCGCCATATGCAAAGTCATCTTGTTGTCAGAAAATTCAAGATTGTTCTGATTTTGTTCTACTATTAGTATTGACAGATTAAAACATTATCCGTATCCATATCTTATACACAAGTAACTTGGAAATCCTTGCAGTGAAAAACTAAAATGGTCCTTTGCATGCTGACCATTAACCTAAAAGCCCACGTTGAAAATATTTCATATCCGCCGTAACGCGCGTTTGAATGGAACGAAAGAAAGTAAATTTCAGCGAAATTGCCACCCACTAACCTGCAAACTGCTGCAACGCGCCGAGAGTCCGGCGAAGAGGCCATCATGCCGCACAGAACACTACACTACACTTTGATGAGTGCTTCACGTGTGCCGACATGGTGACCCGACCCCCGACCTCATCCTCCTCCCCCCCTCCCCCTCTCCCCCCTGCTCGGCTCCGATTTCGTTTGACACATACCCCGCTTTGTTTGTAAGTGGGCCGCCGGGGTGGCACGGCGCTCTGAATGAGTTGGCCGCATCCCACCTGACCTCTGACCTGTGACGGTGTCGAAAGCCTCGGGACTGCAGGGCAAACGGTGTGGATGGGGTGGTCTGAAGCAGACGACGACGACGACGACACGCGAACACGCCCTCCCCGTCGAGCGCCGCCGGCAGCGCGCCACCTCGCGGCCAGAGTCCGCAGCTCCGCAGCCATTAGCGTTTGTGAGGAGGTCGCTGGGCGCTGGGCCTGCCATGGGCACCATGGGCTGGGCAGCGCCGCTGGGCAGCGGCCACGAGTGCCGCCGCCGGGTTGTGGCTGATTGCCCGTCGGCCGTGTATAAGGCCCCGTAGGCCGTGCCGTCCATGTCCTGGGACAATACTGGCCTCAATCACGACAGCAGGGCCGGGGGGGGGGGGGGGGGGGGGGGGGGGGCTACCGACCGACTGACCACTGCGCGCGGCGCGGGCATAGAGGCCTAGAGCAGCGGAGGGCGCTGGTGCGCGCTGCTCGCGCCAAAAAGCGCCCGCAGGACGTTTGGTCGGCGGATACAAAATGAATGAAACAGCCGCTCGCGGAGCGGCCGAGCGTGGCGTGCGGCGCGACGGCCGGCGGTAGCAAATCGGGCAACGCAAGTCACGTAATAAGTCTAGGCGAGCCGTCCGTAGTGTGCCATTCAGGCTCGAGTGGCGGCGCGGACAGGACGACGGGGAGCCCAAGGACGACGGCGGCGTGGCGCCGAGCCGAGCCGCGGCAGCCCCGCGGTGTGAATGGGATAAAACTAAAGGGCAAGCGGAGAGGAGCCAAGGACGGCACCCGCAGCAGGCCACCGGGCGCGGCGGGCACACATCACTACTGGTGGAAACTGAAAAGGGCGTAAGTCCTCGGACTTTGCATTGGACTTACGCCCTTTTCACTTTTTACCAGTGACACAAGCCGGCCGCGGGTGGGACACGTCCCGCGCGTCCGTCGCGCGCGTCTTTCATTGTCCTCTCCATAGGTTCCTCTAGAGGATAATCGCCACGCCACACCCGCACCCGACCCGACTGAAATGGGTACCGTAAAAAACATCCAACGAAACATGACGGATAGTGGAGCCCCGCCTTCCGTTATCATTTACATGAATAATGCAACTGTACGCACGCCCCGAAATCAAAACGCGGGACACAATCATATCAATTTAAATACGCGTGTGTCACCTATCACTGGTTTCCATGGATGAGCTTAGTATCGCGACATTCTACTGTAGCTCTATGGCTAAAGAGGGGGACAATATAAGTCCCTTGACATTTAATGTGTGCACACGCCCGAGTGGAATCTGCTGCTTGTTACGTAACTCCTGCGCGTGGCTCCGGTGGGTCCCGGCACCGCGGTGCACTGTGGGGACGCGTTGGAGGACGCTGCGACGCGGGCCGGGCCTAGTGGCAGGGGGCTGCACACTGGCAGGGCGCAGCTCCGCCGTCCCCTTTCCCTTCCCCTCTTCCGTGCGAACGCTCTTGGCACGTTTCTCAGTTTTATGGTCTTTACATGACTGAGTGTTGGCGACTCGGCATGGCGTGCTGGTGGTGTGGTGGTTGGTCGGTTGTGGTGGTGGTGGTGGCGGCGACGGTGGTGTACCGGGGGGGGGGGGCTCCGGGCGTGCAACCGAACACTCTTGCAGACAAAAAGAATCGGTAGAGTGGAGTGAGGGGGGAAAAAACGTGCGCATTAAAAGTCGTTTCGTTTTATTTCCGACGAAGGGGGGACTTTGAGCGGGCTCACGGAGGGGGACACAAACCTCCCCCGGGTGCCTCTGCTGGAAAGACACAGGTGTGTGCATTGATTTCGATTCCAAGTCGGAGGTACCCGGGAGGGAGGAGGGGTGGGGGGGGGGCAGAGGGGCCGTCAGCGAGTGAGGCAAGGCGGGGCCATAATGGGTACCACGCCGGAGCGGCGCGCGGCGCAGTGTTTTTTCAGCGAGTACCGAAGGGTTGCCGGATGAACAAAGGACTCGTCACGTCAAGTCACGTCACGTGTGGAAGCGGGAGGGGGGGGGGTACAGTCGCCACTCTAGAACCTCCGAGGAGCTCACGCAGAGTATAGTAGCAGCGAGTCGCCGGGGACGTGCGCATGCGCGTGGTGTCCGCCTGCCTGGCCGGCCCGGCGTGGCACTTCCCTCCAATTAAGCAGCACGTCATACAATCACATGATGATGCTGCCCTGTTCCGAAGTAGCGCGCCAAACGAGCCGGAGCCGGGCGGACAGGCCTCTGGGCCTGGAGGCCCCTCTTGGAGGCACCGGGGGACCTAGGTGTTCTTTTCTGAAGCCCTTCATAGTGGCCATTCCAGTTCCACAAGACCCCTCCCCCTTCCTCGGCCGCTCCTTCCCCCTCAGGGCTTCTTCTTCTCCGCCACTCTGCTCTAAACGAAGCCAAGCCGAGGCGGAGCAAAGCAGCACACGGCAAAGCCAAAGCGGCTTTTGCAAACGAGTCCGCCCCATAATACTCCCCGGACGTCACCGTGATCGAACCGAACCACACCCTGCGGAACCGGTACCAATCTGGCAAACCACAACCAGCTCATCGCTCTGATCCCGTCACCTTCCTTCCTCTCCCCGCCCACCCCGCTCCGCCCTCCGACTCGGGCCTCCCGCGCCCCACCCCGCCGGTTACCACATCAGACACGGCAAGATACGGCAGGACTTTAGAGCAGCAGGGCTCTTTTTTTGGAGGGGCCCGGCCCCAGCCCAGGGCTCCTGCAGGTTATTGATTCTGTACCCGCGCCGGGACGGGTAGGGACGATAGTGCCCGTCATGCTGGAGCCGGGCGGGTTGCCTCCTCGCCCGCCCCATCCCCGCTGCTGGAGTCCCTCCCGCCCCGCGAGTCTCCCGGCTCACCCGCCGTCCGCATGCCGCGGCCCTACCCGCGGCCCGGGCTGCGTGCTCGCGGGCCGTTGCATGGCGGGGCCGACCCCTACCAGCATGGTGTCCGTCGTCTCTTAACTCCTCAATGGGCGGGCAACGTAATCGAAAAGTTGGCAGGGGGATGGTGGGGGTGCATGACGACGGCGACGAGGCGCGGGACCCTTGGCGGGGACGCGCTAGAGAGGACAGGCCCGAGCAGCAGACGCGACACAAGTCGAGTCAAGCCGAAAGCCGAGGCCGGCGTCGTCGAGCCGACGCGGAAGCTCTAGCCTCGGCGGCCATGCGCGCCCCGGCAGCGCGAGGAGGCCCCCGCCCCCCGCGTCAACAAGGCAAGGGCCCACATATCAGGTTGCCCGATCGGCTGACAGGACGGGCAGTGCAAGCGACACTAGCGCGAGGAGGCAACAGGCAGCGCGCGAGGGCCTCCAAGTGGTCTGGCTATGGGCCTCGCGCGGACCGGGCGGAGCAGGCAGGGCAGCAGCAACAGGCGACACTTCAGGGCCTCCTCCCGCGGCTCGTGGCGGCAACAGGCGACTGCGGCTGAGCTTGCAGGGCAGGGCTGACAGGACCTCGGGGCGGTAGCTGCAGGCGACATTGGACCTGCCCGCCAAAAATGTCGCGAGAAGGTAGGGGCAGCCTCGAGCAGCTGGGCTCCCACTCAGGATCTATAGCGCAGCGCAACACTTACTTCGGCGCCCGACGTCAACGATGGAAGTCTGTACCGTCGATAACGTGCTGCTCGTGGAGCTCCAGGTCCACGCCGGCAGTCGGGCTTGTTTGTTGTGTAATTAGCTTCTTACATTGCCGGCCGGAGGACTATTCAATCTGGGCGCCCGTGCTTGGGCCGAGAGGCGGGCTGTCGGGTCGGGGCAGTCGTCGTGTCCAGGGATACAGGGTGTTGCGCTAGCACGCGTGCTCCAAGACCCACGCAGAGTGCGAAGCTGGTCTGTCGAGGCGAAAACGGGCAGCCGACGTCGGTGACGTCGAGTCAGTCCACGCAAACCCGTAGAGGGGGAAAGGGCAAGAGGAGCTTGTACAGCACCCGGTAGGCCATAAAATGTTTAAGCCCCCTACTCCCTTTCCCAACCCACCCAACCAGCTACCTCTTTTTCCTTTCAAATCCAAAATAAAAATAAAAGTAACAACCCCAGAGAGTGGTCAGCGGGCGATGTCGAACCTCCCCATCCTCCTCTAAATCTTTGGGCAGGACTGGTGTCTGGATAGGCTCCCCTCTCCTTGGTTTTCTGTGTTGAGTCTCCTTCCTGCATGCCCCTGTCTCCTTTCATCTTTCTTCTTTTCTTATGGTTTGTCTTGTACAGATTTTTGAATGATAGGGGATGTTTAAGTAAGAACATTTGATTGGAAAACAATGGAAAATGGATTTTATTCAACATCTTCGATTCTTCATACTGTGTATATGAGTAATTAATTATAAAATAATTTGATTCGCACAACTGACAAAAAGATAAAACTTTTACAAGTAACCAAAGAATTGCAACACACAATTTTCAATTAATGTGCATTGGCTGACAGTAAAATGAAACAAAATTGGATTGTCAAGGTAATACCATTTTCCATGCGATTTTATCAAGATTTATAAAATAATATAATTTAATGGTACATATTCTTTATAAACAAATAATAAACATACACAAGGTGTCTTTGCACGATCGTCCAAAACAAAAAGTGATAAATACTTGTTAAATAAGTTACCACACATTAAATACAAACTTGACTAAATAGACAGGGAAACTATTTATGTAAAAATAGTACATTTTTCTTATAGACAAAACTGAAAGCAAGAATTTTCTACCAACCCAACCGGAAACCGAAACCTTTCGCGAAAGAGATGATGACCGTGCCGAAGCCCCACCCCGAACGCGCAAGGTTCAAGAACCGAAGGAACCCGAAGAGAGCGAAACCGTAACCGAAGCTGTGATACAAAACCCTTCGGCTACAAGCACATCAGGGTGCTCTGAGGCAGCAGAACGCGGCACTCTGCTGTCCTAACCAGATATTGCTAAGACGGTTTCGCTCTGGAATTAGGAGATTTAGAAAAAAAAAGTTTAAATAAAGAAAAGGGGGGAAAATCTCATGGACCTGTATGAGAAACGGGTTTGGCTACTTCCCCATGACTAACCCGCGCAGCAACGCGCCGACCACAATAAATACAACTGGCGCCCCTCAATAAATAATTCAACAGATAAAAATTAAAAAAAGGAAGTGCAAAGACTGAAGCGACACGCAGATGTTGTCCTGTCTAAAATATGCATTATCTAAGTAAGGTAATATTCGGCACCTGATTCAGCAAGATAGTACGCCAGACTCACCGTCTGGACCTCACAATCATACATAAATTAACATTTATAAAATAAATTTAAAAAAAATATATGTGCAGAACCAATCACATAAGATAACATTGGCTCCTCTGTCTTCAAAGCAAAATTTCCTTCATTGAATACAATATTGGCGATATACAAGTTACATCAAGTGACTACAGGTATAAAGCCAAAGGCTATGTGCAAAGGCTGAGTGGTCTCAGACAGATATCCATCAATACTGGCCCACACTGTCTTGCTACACCATGACCGACAAGCCTCCCCAAGTAACTACATCCTTCGTCAGTGCACTCCATAAAACATAATTGATAGAAATAGGGATCAAGTAGTGACATAACGCAATCATAAATAGTGAGGGCAAAAACAACACAAAAGGGACCATATGGAATTCGTTCCAAAACAGTTCACAAAACATAAATTAAAATATACATCAGAATCACAAAACTTGAGGCACTTTTCAGTTACTTTTCATACTAACAATGAAAGACAAGCATGAAAGCGTCACAGTTGATTTTCATAATTAAGAAGTCAAAGGATGCTGCTACAATACATCACAAATATGAACCGCAAGTGGTGAGCATTTAATCTTATTGCTTAGGAGCTTCTTGGATCCATAAAGAAGGCTTTATAGATGAAAATAAAGGAAATCAAGCTTTCAATACTTTGAGGAAATATCATGTTGACAGTCTTTCAAGTTATCATGGATGAATGTACTTATATAAGTCGAATGTGTAGCAGTGGAATATAATGGAATGGAAAGTGCAGCAATTTACACTCAAAAGAAAATTCTAAACAATAAGACTTGTTGAAGTTAATGACAATGTGGTCAACTTGGTTAACTTTGTTTCTTATTTCACTTATGTACAATTCTATTATTATAAAGTACTTTAACCAGATTATTTTAAAAATTAAATCACATCACGTTTAGGCATTACTGGACTAAGGTACCTTCTACACGGACGTTTAGTCCCTGATGGTTTCCATGATTGGAGCATTACAAAACAAAGGAAAATGCCCTTTAGCGCACTAGTAATAATAATAATAAAAAAACAAAAAACAAACATATGACTTTCATTCAAACTCATAAGTAAAATAATAAATAACATAAAATGATAATTTACTCAATTGAAAAACATTGGTCAAGGTGGTTTTCGACAAACAAAAAAGGAAACGTCAACTATAATTATTCTCACAGGTTCAATCGATTACACCTTTCAATCAAAACTCTTAAGATATACAAATAAATTACATATGGAAACAAAGAAGAAACGACACCAATCCCGAAGATAAAGGCAGGCCATAGTGATGGTGGACTTGAGCAAACGTGGAGTTCGGGAAGCAAAGGGCTACCTCAAGAGATCCCAGGCGAGGCCGGGCCGCTCTTCTTTACTCTACATAAATAGTGCTGTGCTGGATGGGGAAGGGAGAGGAGAGGGGGAGGAAGGGAGGGGTGAGGGGCGACGGGATTTACACATCCAGGCGGATCTTCATAACCTGGTTGGACAGGGTGTTGAAGATGGGCAGGCGGAAGGGCGAGCCAGGAGGAGAGGGCGAGTCTCGGGAGCTGCCAGAGCCGGTGCTGCCGCACGGCACGTGATGCCCGGGCATGGGCATCGGCCCGGGCGACTGCACCAGTCCGGCGAAGTCCTGGCCGAACGAGAACGCAGTGTTGGCGTGCGCCGAGGTCGGCGTGGGGGACACCGAGCTGAACACGTCCTCTGAGGACATGAAGAAGGATCGGTGCGAGTTGGTGGGCGACTGGCTCAGGCTGGACGTCGGCGAGGGTGAGTCGGCCGTGGAGCCGCCCAGATAGGTGTGGGCGGGCGAGTGCGGGGGCCCGGTGGCCAGCGTGAGTGCCTTCGGGCGCGCCAGGGCGGGCAGCGCGGGCATCGTGGCGGACTGCTGCAGACCGGGCTTGCCGTGGTGGGCCTGGGGGTGCCCCTGCGGGTGCCCCTGCGGGTGTCCCTGAGGGAGTCCCTGGGGACCCTGGCGACCGGGAGGGCCCTGGTCCTGGCACTCCTCGTCGTTGTGCACAAAGTGGCAGCGGGGGCCGTAGGGGCACAGGCCGATAGTGTGGTAAGTGCGGCACAGCTCGGTCTTGTACTTGGGGTGGCGGACCAGCGTGCGCAGCTCGTGGGCGCCGTGCGCGAACTGGCACTTGTCGCCGTACTTGCACGAGCCCGACTCCTCGAAGGGCCTGCACAGCTCGGTCTTGTAGCGCGAGGTGTTGATGTTGGCGGCAGCGGCGGCGGCGGCCGCGGCCGCAGACTTGCACGCCGACGCGGGGTTGGCGGGCTCGCTGTGGCTGCGGTCGAGCTTGCGGTGCGCGGCGGGGACGGCGGCCGTCGGCGTGGCGGGGGCGGGGGGCGACTGCGGCTGCTGCTGCTGTGGCTGCTGGGTGTCGAGCTGGATCACGAGGGTCTGCGCCATGTTGAGGGCGAGTCCCTGCTGGAGGCCCTGTTGCAGACCTTGCGGAAGTCCCTGCTGCAGGCCCTGCTGGAGGCCGGGCTGCACGGTGTGCAAGGTGTGCACCGGGTTGGAGGCGCGTCTGCTGAGGCTCTCTCGCTGGTAGTCGAGGGCGTTGGTGACGCGGCCCTCACCCCATCTCACGTTGTGGCTGTGCTGGTGGCGGACCGCCGAGCTGCTGTGGTTCTGCAACAGGACAAGAAGGGCGGCGGTCAGGTGGCGGTCAGGAAGAAGTACACTCGCGGCACGCTCTGCCCTGCCCGGGCTGGCAACTCCAACGCCCGCAGACGCCGCCGAGCCGTTTTTCTTTTCGCAGTGTGTTGAGCGTGGCCAGCGCTCGGGCGTGAAGGTCAGAACGCGAAGGGGGGAAAATGGCGTCGGCATACGAACACACTGGTTCCAAACCGCGGAACAAACATGCAAAAACTCACTCTGCAAATAAGGCATCCTTCAACGAGGGTAAATAGTTGCTCCGAGCAAACGCTAACGTATCCTCTGGCCACGCGGCGGCCCACGACCGGACACGAGCGGGGAGGGATCGTCTCACCTCTCACCACCGTCCCACCCGTGTGCCAACGGCGCTCGAAAAACCAAACTGAATCGCGATGAACGGCATCAGGCTGCTTATGCATTCGCCGCCTAGGACACAAGGTGTGAGCAGCCGAGGGCCCATAGGGGAGGGGGCTTATACATCCACTGGGGCCAACGTTCGGCCTTCGACACGGCGCACCGTGCCGCTCTCCGCCCCGCGCCCGCGCGCGCCCCGCCCCGCGCGCGCCCCGCCCCGCGCTCTAGCTGCTCTAGCCCGTGGCGTCAGCGTGCGGGGCCGACCAGTCCGGGCTGCATGCGGGTTATTGAACCGCGTTGTACTTTACGGGTGACAATGAGTGGCCGCGCTCTAGCTGCTCTACCTGCTCTAGCGCTCAAGCTGCTCTAGCGCTCTAGCCCGTGGCGTCAGCGTGCGGGACCGACCAGTCCGGGCTGCATGCGGGTTATTGAACCGCGATGTACTTTACGGGTGACAATGAGTGCCCGGGCCAGGTAGTGTAAAACAGCGCGCATAAAAAAAAGAGGCCGCAAGTAAAATCGGGCAGCTCGAGGTAAAAACAAGTGCGTCAGCAGCGACAGCAGGGGGGTTTGGCGCCACTGCGCCACTTTAACTACACCACCGTGGTTGTGGACCAGGCCGACTCTTGTGTCTGTCCGCCACCCCGTCCGACGGGTCGGACTCGACGAGAAGGCCATCATCGCATCGCCATCCGTCAACGGCAAACAATGAACCCCGTCCACCCAGTCGACCCGAGCCTGCTTACTGGCGCACCCCATCGCAGCCCCTCGCAGGTGGCAAAGCATAAACAAACGCCATGGCGCCAGTCTGTCCCCCCCCCCCTCCCCCCGGGGGCCGCTGCAGAGGCAGAGGAGGGAGGAGGAGGATGCAGCGGCGGGCGGCGCAGCTCAGCGCATCGCATTCAGAGCACTTTCACTGCAGCGCCGCCGTGCCGCGCCTGCCCCGGACCATCCTTCCGGTCCCCCCTCCCCCCTTTCCGGAGGGTATTGTGTCACAGCCGCTGGGCTGCGGCGGCCGCAGCAGCGGCGGAGGCCTGACCTTCAGCTCTCACTCTAATCCAAAGAGCATGATGACCGTAGTGCCCCTCTCCTCTCCTCTCCTCCCCTCCTTACCCCCACCCCGCCCTCCAGTTGTAGAGGGAAAGACACACGCGAAGACAACACGCGCGCGCAGCAGCAGCAGCAGCGGGACAGAGGGAAGGACAAGACGCCAAACAATGAGGGAGAGAAAAAAATACATGAGGACGAGCACTAGAGGGCACCTGACAGAGTGAGAGACAAGGCACAGACAGAGAGAATTGAAAGATGGGAGACAGAAAGGCAGGAGACAGAAAGGCAGGAGACAGAAAGACCGGAGAGACAGGAGACACAGACGACAGAAATTTAGGAGACAGAGATAGAACGTCGTTCATGTCGGTCCGATCGATCATCCCGACTGCAGTTAGTATGCAGAGCGATGCACGCCATGACTCGCGTGGCGCCGCGTAGCGTGCTTTACATGGATTACGTTAGCGCCACACTTTCTTTACACAACGGGGCCAGGCCGGCAGTCAGGCAGGCAGCGAGGGAGCCGGCCAGCCAGGCCGGCAGCCAGGCAGCCTCCACCAGGCACGGCCATTACATAACTCTCCAGAGCGGAGCGCCGGCTCGGCGGCGGCGGCGCTCCAGCGGCAAGAGCCGAGCCGAGCCCCATTCTGGCACAGCCGAGCCGGCCGTTGCGGCCGAGCCGAGCCGAGCCCCGGCGCGCAGAGGATACTGTAGCTGGTGCCGTAGCGCGCCGCTGCACCGCGCGTTGCCTAAGCCCGAGGCGCTCGGCACCGTTTGCCATTTCCCGCCCACTCGTCGATGTCCTCCTCCTCCTCCTGCTGCTGCTGCTCCTTTCACGCGCAAAGGACACCAAGGGGTCTCAGCTCGCGGGTCGCGGCCCGGGCGCGGCTGCACGAAGGCCAGGCAGTTCGTTAACTTGGACTCGTTAGAAGAGGCGCCCGCGGCCTCCGGGTACCAACAGCCAACAGCCTCTCGCACGCCACTGCTGCCGCCGACGAGGTTTTTTTTCGGCTGGCCCGACTCGCTCGTTCACACACCCAAAGGGTGGGACTTGGCACCACTGCGACGAACTCCCCCCGAGCCGGCTGCGCTGGCCGGGGCACACATCACATCCTGGCAGCCACTTGTTAATAACCAGGCCAGTCAGTCGCTTCATTAGCAGACTCGCCAGCCCCCTCGGGCCCGGGACGGCCCCGGGGCCCCGACAGCTGGCGTCAAGCACTGCAGTCGTCAGTCACAGGGCTCGTCATCATCAGCATCAGAATCGACGCCGTGCCCTTCCAGCGAAAGACGGCCGTCCTCCCCTGGCACAGGGCGGGGCATGGCCACGCCCAGCCAGCAGCTGGGGCGTTATTGTCGTTGGCAAAATGCATAGCGCAGAGTAGAGTATACCGGCGCTGAGCTAGCCGCGACCCTTGGACCCCGTGCGCCGCCGCGCCAGCGCCGCCCATACAGAACAACGAGGGGGTTTGACTACACTACGGCACAGTGTCGATGGACGCCTGGACAAAAACACGGGGCGGCGTCGCGCAGCCAGCAGCACGTCTGAGGCCGGTGATCCATAATCGTACGCCGGGCTCTTGCTCGTTGCGAAGGAGGCCGCGGCGAGCGCGTGTTCCCTTCGCACGCCCCGCCGGCCGGCCCGCGGGCCCCGCTCGTGCGCAACCTCAGGGACGTCACGTCCGTCCGGCACAAGGACTCCGGCCGGACCTGGTGTCCACTCCACGCGGTGTATTCCTCATCCTTGCCGCCGGGCCTTGGCCGCGTCTTCAACCCCGAGCGAGGCGCTTTTGTCAACACGCCGCACCCGCGGAGGACGACAACAACACACAAATCCGAAGACATTGACAAAACGAGCACGCGCGCGCGCGCGGCCACACACTCACACACACACTCACTGGTCCTGCCCGGGCCGCCCGGTGGGTGCTCCATGGGGACCTGCCGTGGGGCTCCCGCGGTCCCCGCCGCTCCGGCCGCGGCCCCGCCAGCGGCCCCGCGACACACTCTCGGGGGCTCACTAGGTTACACAATGGGGACCCGACCCGGCCCCATAAGCCTTACATAAGAGCGGGAACCCCTCAACACTTTCTTCAGGGCCGCCACGCGCCCCCTCCCCTCTCTCCGACCCCCTCCCGCCGCGCCCGGCCGTCCCACGGTCACTTTCACCGAAACGCCCACGGGGGGGCTGCGCTGCGCGCCGGCTGCGGGGCCGGGATCACAGAGTCAATCAGCCTTACGGCCGTAACAACAAGGAAGCTGCGCGCGGCGCGCGGAGGCGTGGCGCGGCGCGCTTCGCGGGTCACCAGGAACCAAGCAGCTGTGCACTTCCACCCACGCGGCCCTCTCGCCGCGCGCACGCCAGCGCGGCCACCGCCGAGCCCCCACGCCGGCCTCGTCGTCTGTCCCATTCCGGCCCCCCGAAATGTCTTCCTCCTCTCGACCTCGTTGGCCTAGATGAGGGTGGGCCGCAGCGGGCCGCGGGACCACTCGGGAGCCAGTTCCCATCCTCGTCCTGCTGCTCGCCCCGCACAAGTAGGACGACTACCTTGTTGCGTCACGGACAGGTCGGCGCAACTGATTAGCGGAGGGCCGTGAGGGGGCAAGAGCGGCCACCGCACGCTCAAGGGCGGCCACCACGCCGCCGAGCCCTTCCCGTCGTCGCCCCCAAGACCGTCGCCGCCGAGCCCTGCCCGCCCTGCACCATGCCGTCGCGGCCACTCGACATCGTGCCATTTTCCGAGCACCGGCGGCATCGTGTTGCTGCTCTGCACCTCGCCGGCGGCGGGGCCTTGGGGATCCACGATAAACTACCTATCTTAGGCCTGCCCCGTTGTGGAGGAGGGGGAGGAGGAAGGAGACGAGGAATGAGACGGCAAGCCTGGAAGCGCCGCGCGCCGCGCAGCCGCGCAGCCCGGCGGAGCGGAGCACAGCGGAGCCCCACTCACCGGAGGAACAATGTCCACGGCGTTCATCTCAAGGTAAAATCAAGGCGACTTTTTCCGTTTGCCGCCGCTGCTGCTGCTGCCTGCCGCTCGCTACGCTACTGCGGAATTGTCCCCATGCCATCAGAGTGGTGGGGCGGGGCGGGGCTGCACGACGCGCGTCGTCGTGCGCCCGCAGAGGAAGCAAAAGGCACAGGAGGCACTGGAGGTTTTGGCGGGAAGAGTGGGGAGGGGGACCTAAGGCCCCAAACCGAGACCGGTTCAGGACCAGCTCAAGGTCAGCTGGCGTCATCAGCAAGTCAGAGGAGAGAGGGGAGGGGGAGAGAGGAGGAGAACAGCGCGGCGCGCACAGCTCCTCCACCACCACCACCACCACTCGCCGGGCCGGAGGAGCCGAGTCGAGCCAACGCAATCAACGCATCGAGAGGCCCATCCAGCACGCCACTCCCCGCCACCCCACGCAATAGCCACATCAAAACAAAGTCCTACTGGCGGAGGAGAGGGGAGGGGGCGGGGAGTAGGGGTCGGTGGCGCTGGCGGCGGAGGCGGACCAGGATGCATTCAGGCAGGAGAACAAGAGCAAGCGCCGCACCGCGCCACGCCGCGCACCCCGGGGGTGCTTCAAATTGA